CCCCCCCCCCCCCCCCCCCCCCCCCCCCCCCCCCCCCCCCCCCCCCCCCCCCCCCCCCCCCCCCCCCCCCCCCCCCCCCCCCCCCCCCCCCCCCCCCCCCCCCCCCCCCCCCCCCCCCCCCCCCCCCCCCCCCCCCCCCCCCCCCCCCCCCCCCCCCCCCCCCCCCCCCCCCCCCCCCCCCCCCCCCCCCCCCCCCCCCCCCCCCCCCCCCCCCCCCCCCCCCCCCCCCCCCCCCCCCCCCCCCCCCCCCCCCCCCCCCCCCCCCCCCCCCCCCCCCCCCCCCCCCCCCCCCCCCCCCCCCCCCCCCCCCCCCCCCCCCCCCCCCCCCCCCCCCCCCCCCCCCCCCCCCCCCCCCCCCCCCCCCCCCCCCCCCCCCCCCCCCCCCCCCCCCCCCCCCCCCCCCCCCCCCCCCCCCCCCCCCCCCCCCCCCCCCCCCCCCCCCCCCCCCCCCCCCCCCCCCCCCCCCCCCCCCCCCCCCCCCCCCCCCCCCCCCCCCCCCCCCCCCCCCCCCCCCCCCCCCCCCCCCCCCCCCCCCCCCCCCCCCCCCCCCCCCCCCCCCCCCCCCCCCCCCCCCCCCCCCCCCCCCCCCCCCCCCCCCCCCCCCCCCCCCCCCCCCCCCCCCCCCCCCCCCCCCCCCCCCCCCCCCCCCCCCCCCCCCCCCCCCCCCCCCCCCCCCCCCCCCCCCCCCCCCCCCCCCCCCCCCCCCCCCCCCCCCCCCCCCCCCCCCCCCCCCCCCCCCCCCCCCCCCCCCCCCCCCCCCCCCCCCCCCCCCCCCCCCCCCCCCCCCCCCCCCCCCCCCCCCCCCCCCCCCCCCCCCCCCCCCCCCCCCCCCCCCCCCCCCCCCCCCCCCCCCCCCCCCCCCCCCCCCCCCCCCCCCCCCCCCCCCCCCCCCCCCCCCCCCCCCCCCCCCCCCCCCCCCCCCCCCCCCCCCCCCCCCCCCCCCCCCCCCCCCCCCCCCCCCCCCCCCCCCCCCCCCCCCCCCCCCCCCCCCCCCCCCCCCCCCCCCCCCCCCCCCCCCCCCCCCCCCCCCCCCCCCCCCCCCCCCCCCCCCCCCCCCCCCCCCCCCCCCCCCCCCCCCCCCCCCCCCCCCCCCCCCCCCCCCCCCCCCCCCCCCCCCCCCCCCCCCCCCCCCCCCCCCCCCCCCCCCCCCCCCCCCCCCCCCCCCCCCCCCCCCCCCCCCCCCCCCCCCCCCCCCCCCCCCCCCCCCCCCCCCCCCCCCCCCCCCCCCCCCCCCCCCCCCCCCCCCCCCCCCCCCCCCCCCCCCCCCCCCCCCCCCCCCCCCCCCCCCCCCCCCCCCCCCCCCCCCCCCCCCCCCCCCCCCCCCCCCCCCCCCCCCCCCCCCCCCCCCCCCCCCCCCCCCCCCCCCCCCCCCCCCCCCCCCCCCCCCCCCCCCCCCCCCCCCCCCCCCCCCCCCCCCCCCCCCCCCCCCCCCCCCCCCCCCCCCCCCCCCCCCCCCCCCCCCCCCCCCCCCCCCCCCCCCCCCCCCCCCCCCCCCCCCCCCCCCCCCCCCCCCCCCCCCCCCCCCCCCCCCCCCCCCCCCCCCCCCCCCCCCCCCCCCCCCCCCCCCCCCCCCCCCCCCCCCCCCCCCCCCCCCCCCCCCCCCCCCCCCCCCCCCCCCCCCCCCCCCCCCCCCCCCCCCCCCCCCCCCCCCCCCCCCCCCCCCCCCCCCCCCCCCCCCCCCCCCCCCCCCCCCCCCCCCCCCCCCCCCCCCCCCCCCCCCCCCCCCCCCCCCCCCCCCCCCCCCCCCCCCCCCCCCCCCCCCCCCCCCCCCCCCCCCCCCCCCCCCCCCCCCCCCCCCCCCCCCCCCCCCCCCCCCCCCCCCCCCCCCCCCCCCCCCCCCCCCCCCCCCCCCCCCCCCCCCCCCCCCCCCCCCCCCCCCCCCCCCCCCCCCCCCCCCCCCCCCCCCCCCCCCCCCCCCCCCCCCCCCCCCCCCCCCCCCCCCCCCCCCCCCCCCCCCCCCCCCCCCCCCCCCCCCCCCCCCCCCCCCCCCCCCCCCCCCCCCCCCCCCCCCCCCCCCCCCCCCCCCCCCCCCCCCCCCCCCCCCCCCCCCCCCCCCCCCCCCCCCCCCCCCCCCCCCCCCCCCCCCCCCCCCCCCCCCCCCCCCCCCCCCCCCCCCCCCCCCCCCCCCCCCCCCCCCCCCCCCCCCCCCCCCCCCCCCCCCCCCCCCCCCCCCCCCCCCCCCCCCCCCCCCCCCCCCCCCCCCCCCCCCCCCCCCCCCCCCCCCCCCCCCCCCCCCCCCCCCCCCCCCCCCCCCCCCCCCCCCCCCCCCCCCCCCCCCCCCCCCCCCCCCCCCCCCCCCCCCCCCCCCCCCCCCCCCCCCCCCCCCCCCCCCCCCCCCCCCCCCCCCCCCCCCCCCCCCCCCCCCCCCCCCCCCCCCCCCCCCCCCCCCCCCCCCCCCCCCCCCCCCCCCCCCCCCCCCCCCCCCCCCCCCCCCCCCCCCCCCCCCCCCCCCCCCCCCCCCCCCCCCCCCCCCCCCCCCCCCCCCCCCCCCCCCCCCCCCCCCCCCCCCCCCCCCCCCCCCCCCCCCCCCCCCCCCCCCCCCCCCCCCCCCCCCCCCCCCCCCCCCCCCCCCCCCCCCCCCCCCCCCCCCCCCCCCCCCCCCCCCCCCCCCCCCCCCCCCCCCCCCCCCCCCCCCCCCCCCCCCCCCCCCCCCCCCCCCCCCCCCCCCCCCCCCCCCCCCCCCCCCCCCCCCCCCCCCCCCCCCCCCCCCCCCCCCCCCCCCCCCCCCCCCCCCCCCCCCCCCCCCCCCCCCCCCCCCCCCCCCCCCCCCCCCCCCCCCCCCCCCCCCCCCCCCCCCCCCCCCCCCCCCCCCCCCCCCCCCCCCCCCCCCCCCCCCCCCCCCCCCCCCCCCCCCCCCCCCCCCCCCCCCCCCCCCCCCCCCCCCCCCCCCCCCCCCCCCCCCCCCCCCCCCCCCCCCCCCCCCCCCCCCCCCCCCCCCCCCCCCCCCCCCCCCCCCCCCCCCCCCCCCCCCCCCCCCCCCCCCCCCCCCCCCCCCCCCCCCCCCCCCCCCCCCCCCCCCCCCCCCCCCCCCCCCCCCCCCCCCCCCCCCCCCCCCCCCCCCCCCCCCCCCCCCCCCCCCCCCCCCCCCCCCCCCCCCCCCCCCCCCCCCCCCCCCCCCCCCCCCCCCCCCCCCCCCCCCCCCCCCCCCCCCCCCCCCCCCCCCCCCCCCCCCCCCCCCCCCCCCCCCCCCCCCCCCCCCCCCCCCCCCCCCCCCCCCCCCCCCCCCCCCCCCCCCCCCCCCCCCCCCCCCCCCCCCCCCCCCCCCCCCCCCCCCCCCCCCCCCCCCCCCCCCCCCCCCCCCCCCCCCCCCCCCCCCCCCCCCCCCCCCCCCCCCCCCCCCCCCCCCCCCCCCCCCCCCCCCCCCCCCCCCCCCCCCCCCCCCCCCCCCCCCCCCCCCCCCCCCCCCCCCCCCCCCCCCCCCCCCCCCCCCCCCCCCCCCCCCCCCCCCCCCCCCCCCCCCCCCCCCCCCCCCCCCCCCCCCCCCCCCCCCCCCCCCCCCCCCCCCCCCCCCCCCCCCCCCCCCCCCCCCCCCCCCCCCCCCCCCCCCCCCCCCCCCCCCCCCCCCCCCCCCCCCCCCCCCCCCCCCCCCCCCCCCCCCCCCCCCCCCCCCCCCCCCCCCCCCCCCCCCCCCCCCCCCCCCCCCCCCCCCCCCCCCCCCCCCCCCCCCCCCCCCCCCCCCCCCCCCCCCCCCCCCCCCCCCCCCCCCCCCCCCCCCCCCCCCCCCCCCCCCCCCCCCCCCCCCCCCCCCCCCCCCCCCCCCCCCCCCCCCCCCCCCCCCCCCCCCCCCCCCCCCCCCCCCCCCCCCCCCCCCCCCCCCCCCCCCCCCCCCCCCCCCCCCCCCCCCCCCCCCCCCCCCCCCCCCCCCCCCCCCCCCCCCCCCCCCCCCCCCCCCCCCCCCCCCCCCCCCCCCCCCCCCCCCCCCCCCCCCCCCCCCCCCCCCCCCCCCCCCCCCCCCCCCCCCCCCCCCCCCCCCCCCCCCCCCCCCCCCCCCCCCCCCCCCCCCCCCCCCCCCCCCCCCCCCCCCCCCCCCCCCCCCCCCCCCCCCCCCCCCCCCCCCCCCCCCCCCCCCCCCCCCCCCCCCCCCCCCCCCCCCCCCCCCCCCCCCCCCCCCCCCCCCCCCCCCCCCCCCCCCCCCCCCCCCCCCCCCCCCCCCCCCCCCCCCCCCCCCCCCCCCCCCCCCCCCCCCCCCCCCCCCCCCCCCCCCCCCCCCCCCCCCCCCCCCCCCCCCCCCCCCCCCCCCCCCCCCCCCCCCCCCCCCCCCCCCCCCCCCCCCCCCCCCCCCCCCCCCCCCCCCCCCCCCCCCCCCCCCCCCCCCCCCCCCCCCCCCCCCCCCCCCCCCCCCCCCCCCCCCCCCCCCCCCCCCCCCCCCCCCCCCCCCCCCCCCCCCCCCCCCCCCCCCCCCCCCCCCCCCCCCCCCCCCCCCCCCCCCCCCCCCCCCCCCCCCCCCCCCCCCCCCCCCCCCCCCCCCCCCCCCCCCCCCCCCCCCCCCCCCCCCCCCCCCCCCCCCCCCCCCCCCCCCCCCCCCCCCCCCCCCCCCCCCCCCCCCCCCCCCCCCCCCCCCCCCCCCCCCCCCCCCCCCCCCCCCCCCCCCCCCCCCCCCCCCCCCCCCCCCCCCCCCCCCCCCCCCCCCCCCCCCCCCCCCCCCCCCCCCCCCCCCCCCCCCCCCCCCCCCCCCCCCCCCCCCCCCCCCCCCCCCCCCCCCCCCCCCCCCCCCCCCCCCCCCCCCCCCCCCCCCCCCCCCCCCCCCCCCCCCCCCCCCCCCCCCCCCCCCCCCCCCCCCCCCCCCCCCCCCCCCCCCCCCCCCCCCCCCCCCCCCCCCCCCCCCCCCCCCCCCCCCCCCCCCCCCCCCCCCCCCCCCCCCCCCCCCCCCCCCCCCCCCCCCCCCCCCCCCCCCCCCCCCCCCCCCCCCCCCCCCCCCCCCCCCCCCCCCCCCCCCCCCCCCCCCCCCCCCCCCCCCCCCCCCCCCCCCCCCCCCCCCCCCCCAGCTGCAGGGGGTACACCTCTTCTTTTATCATTAAAATGTTGTAAGTATTTTTAATGATTTTTTATATGTAAATATTAGACCAGCGTACATGTCTCCGCGTGTTTACCGTACTGTGTGTAGTAGGGGTGCACTAAAATGTTGGAGCGGCTTTCGAGTCGCTCTGAACCCAGAGAGAAGGAGAGGTGTACCGAGAGGGAATGACCGTTGAATGTCTGTCGGATATCCAACTTCAAACTAACTTCACCGCGGTTCAAAACCGGGAAAAATATCTTTGTTGATTTTTAGTCTTTATTAGTCGTTTTGACCTCTTGCAATTTGCAGACGGCCCCTTGCGAATATCAGGCGAATATCAAACGTTCGGCCAACTTCACCTCGGTCAAACACCGCTCTGTAGATTTGACAGTTTTGTTATTTCAACGTGTTTTTCTAAAGCACTTGACGCGCGTACTTGGCGCGCACTTATCGCATACTTCGCCTCTTCCTATAGTCACGTGACAGCCGCTCCTCTGCCCCAGCCTCAGAAGAACCTGTTGCAGGCGACAGTCAGTCCTGGTCCTGCCTCAGACCTGGGTCAGTCCGGACTATGGCGTTGTCCCGGGACGAACTGCTCAAACCTATTTGGCACGCGTTCACCGCGCTGGACGTGGACCGGAGCGGGAAGGTGTCAAAGTCCCAGCTCAAGGTACGACTGAGAAGACCTGTTTTAGACCTGCCTTAGACCTGCTTTAGTCCTGTTTTAGACCTGTTTTATACCTGCTTTTGACCTGTTTTAGTCCTGTTTTAGTCCTGTTTTAGTCCTATTTTAGTCCTATTTTAGACCTGCTCTTGATCGTTGTAGTCTTGCTTTAGACACAAGTGTCCGTGACGTCACAGTCTGAGGATCCTCACAATGTGATGAGTTTGAAAACAGAGCGTTTGGACAGAAGGGGGACATGATAATAGTCTCCTCTGTAACACATAAAGCTGGGGTATAAACTTTACTCTCAAATATATGTAGTTTAACGAACAGAAAGAGCCTCAGACCACACTGTATTTTTCTTTTCTTTGGGGAAGAAAGAGCCCAATGAGTCACTCTTTGGGCTGAGAGCTGATTGGCCGAGTGAGGGTGGTCCTCTCTTTCTCTCTTTTCAGTCTGAAAAAGCTGATTCAAGATTTAACAGAGGCCAGAGACAACTGTTTTGCAACCAGAAAACAGAAATAGAAGAGACTTAGAGTTATATTGGTCTTTAAGTTACGGACCCCAGCTTTAAACACCTCTCTGTTGTTTCCACTTCTTGATTTGAGTCGTTCAGGGACTTCCCCGTTCTCCCCTGTGACAGTTTTAAATAACTTCTCTTCTGTTTCCACGGCGACAATCCGTGACACCTGCAGATTAGAGAGAGACCAGGGAGAGAGAGATCAGAAAGAGAGACCAGAGAGAGACAAGAGAGCAACCAGAGGGACAACAGAGAGAGCGAGAGAGATAAGATAAGATATGCTTTATTTATCTCACAAAGGAGAAATTTACATGTCACATCTGGCATGGATAGAATCACTCAAGATTGTGCAAAAAGAGGAACTGTGCAAAAATGTTAAATGCAGGATATATAATGTAAAAAATAAAAAAGTGTCAATTTAAAAGTGGCAATCAAACAGTGTCAAAAGTAGTGCAGGTTTTTTCAGTCTTAATACAGTGACTTAAAGTGACTTGTTGTACAGTCTGACAGCGGTGGGGATAAAGGCCCTGCAGTAGCGCTCCTTCTTACACTGAGGGTGCCTCAGCCTTCCACTTCAGCTCCTCTACAGTCCTGTGCAGTGGGTGGGAGGTGTTGTTCATGATGGAGGAGGGGTGAGAGGCCCAGACAGTCTCCTCAGGTCTTCACTCTGACCCCCTGGCTTCTCAGGTCTTCACTCTGACCCCCTCTCTCCTCAGGTCTTCACTCTGACCCTCTCTGTCCTCAGGTCATCTATCTGACCCTCTCTGTCCTCAGGTCTTCACTCTGACCCTCTCTGTCCTCAGGTCTTCACTCTGACCCTCTCTGTCCTCAGGTCTTCACTCTGACCCTCTCTGTTCTCAGGTCATCTCTCTGACCCTCTCTGTCCTCAGGTCTTCACTCTGACCCTCTCTCTCATCAGGGCTTCACTCTGACCCTCTCTGTCCTCATGTCATCTCTCTGACCCTCTCAGTCCTCAGGTCTTCACTCTGACCCTCTCTCTCATCAGGTCTTCACTCTGACCCTCTCTGTCCTCAGGTCATCTCTCTGACCCTCTCAGTCCTCAGGTCTTCACTCTGACCCTCTCTGTCCTCAGGTCTTCACTCTGACCCTCTCTCTCATCAGGTCTTCACTCTGACCCTCTCTGTCCTCAGGTCTTCACTCTGACCCTCTCAGTCCTCAGGTCTTCACTCTGACCCTCTCTGTCCTCAGGTCTTCACTCTGACCCTCTCTCTCATCAGGTCTTCACTCTGACCCTCTCTCTCATCAGGTCTTCACTCTGACCCTCTCTGTCCTCAGGTCTTCACTCTGACCCTCTCTGTCCTCAGGTCTTCACTCTGACCCTCTCTGTCCTCAGGTCATCTCTCTGACCCTCTCTGTCCTCAGGTCTTCACTCTGACCCTCTCTGTCCTCAGGTTTTCACTCTGACCCTCTCTGTCCTCAGGTTATCACTCTGACCCTCTCTGTCCTCAGGTCTTCACTCTGACCCTCTCTGTCCTCAGGTCTTCCCTCTGACCCTCTCTGTCCTCAGGTCATCTCTCTGACCCTCTCTGTCCTCAGGTCTTCACGCTGACCCTCTCTGTCCTCAGGTCTTCACTCTGACCCTCTCTGTCCTCAGGTCATCTCTCTGCCCCTCTCTGTCCTCAGGTCTTCACTCTGACCCTCTTTGTCCTCAGGTCTCCACTCTGACCCTCTCTGTCCTCAGGTTTTCACTCTGACCCTCTCTGTCCTCAGGGCTTCACTCTGACCCTCTCTGTCCTCAGGTCTTGTCCCATAACTTGTGCACTGTGCTGAACGTTCCTCACGATCCTATGGCTTTAGAAGAACATTTCAAAGACGACGATGAGGGTCCAGTCTCCAACCAGGGATACATGCCATATCTGTCCACCTACATCCTGGACAAGGTGAGTCCGGACCAGTGACCAGGGGGCCAGAGACCAGAGGGACCAAAGACCAGAGAGACCAGTGGGACCAGAGAGAAGTTTGCTGGATTCTGGCTCCCTCTCACAGACCCGCTCAAAGTCTTTTGGCAATTTGTGACACCTGAAGAGCAGCGAGACCAGAAAGTCCGGATACTAAACTGTTTGTAATAATTGCACTAGTCGTAATGATTGTAATGATCGAGCTTGTCTTTGGGAGGGACTTCAGAAACTGGAGTTTCCTGTTTGTTAATCAGTGTAACTGTAAGTGACATTACAACTGTGATCGAAGTAATGTAATGTTTCTCTCAGTTGGTCTCTCTCGGATCCCTCTCTGGTATCTCTGGTTTCCCTCTGGTCTCTGGTTTCCCTCTGGTCTCTCTCTGGTTTCCCTCTGGTCTCTCTCTGGTCTCTCTCTGGTCTCTCCCTGGTCTCTCTCTCTCTCTTGACTTACCCCACATGTCTTGCAGGTGAGAGGAGAGTATGACAAAGTGGACTTTTACCACATCTGCTGGACGCTCTGCAGCAAGAAGAAGCTGGAACACTGTAAACTGCAGATCTGTGAGGAGGACGCCTTTAGGCTCTGGTGCATCTTCAACTTCCTGAGCGAAGATCGGTATCCACTGGTGCTGGTCAACCAGGAGGTCAGCAAACTACTGAGAAAACGTTACTCCATCTTCAACACAGTTCCTCCTTAAAGCCACTCTGTGTATTTTTCCCCAAATGAAGAAACATGTGCTGTATCTTCTCAGCCGAAGATGGGGTTTCCCGCACAAACCAGTGTGTAGTGTTGGAGAAGGAATGCACTCTGAGTTATGTATTAAAGAAAGAGTTTAATGGCATAATCAGAACACACTAAGTCAAATTCAGGCTTAGCGCTTTCAGAATCAGAATCATTTTTATTGCCACGTAAGTAACAGGAGGTCACAGACTTGGAAATTGCTTTGGCTCAGTGCAACAGTCAAAAAGATATAATAAAAATAAGAATAAAAAAGACTTCTAAAGAATAAATTTAAAATAGAGTTACAGTTACTATACAATATACAAGTGCACTTGGTGCACACAATGTAAGGTGACAGCAGTACAGTGAAGTAAAGTGACGTATGATGGGCAGTAAAGTGACCCTATAAAGGGCGGGGGGACAGGTTAAGAAGTGTTCAAGAGTCCAACAGCAGAGGGGAAGAAACTGTTCTTGTGGCGGGAGGTTCTAGTCCTGATGGACCGCAGCCTCCTGCCTGAGGGGAGTGGTTGGAATAGTCCATGTGCAGGGTGAGAGGGGTCGGCTGTGATACGACCAGCCCGGCCTCGAGCTCGGGCGACGTACAGGTCCTGCAGCGATGGAAGGCTGCGGCCGATCACTTCTTCTGCAGAGCGCACAATGCGCTGTAGTCTCTGTTTGTCCCTGACTGTGGCTCCAGCGAACCACACGGTGACGGAGGAGGTGAGGATGGACTCGATGATGGCCGTGTAGAACTGCACCAACATCTGTGCAGGCAGCTTGGCTTTCCTGAGCTGCCGCAGGAAGTACATCCTCTGCTGGGCCTTCTTGATGAGGGAGATGATGGTCGGCTCCCACTTGAAGTCCTGGGTGATGGTGGTGCCCAGGAAACGGAAGGACTCCACAGAGGTGATGGGGGAGTCCATCACGGAGGGTGGGGGCGGGGGGACAGTGCTCTTCCTGAAGTCCACAATCATCTCCACTGTCTTCTGAGCGTTCAGCTCCAGGTTGTTACCACTGCACCAGGACACCAGCCGGTCCACCTCCCTCCTGTAGGCGGACTCATTGTTGTTGGAGATGAGTCCAATGAGGGTGGTGTCGGCCGCGAACTTGATCAGCTTCACGGAGTCGTGGCTGGAGGTGCAGTGGTTGGTGTACAGGGAGAAGAGCAGGGGAGAAAGAACACAGCCCTGTGGGGCTCCTGTATTTATAATCCCAGAGTCCGAGACATTCTTCCCCAGACGCACTCGCTGCTTCCTGTCCGTCAGGAAGTCAGTGATCCACCTGCAGGTGGAATCGGGCACGTTGAGCTGGGAGAGCTTGTCCTGGAGCAGGGATGGCAGGATTGTGTTGAAGGCAGAGCTGAAGTCCACGAACAGGACCCTGGCGTAGGTCCCCGGGGAGTCCAGGTGCTGTAGGATGTGGTGGAGGGCCAGGTTAATGGCGTCGTCTACAAATCTGTTGGCTCTGTAGGCGAACTGCAGGGGGTCCAGGAGGGGGGAGGTGAGGGACTTGAGATGGGAGAGAACCAGGCGTTCAAATGACTTCATGACGACAGACGTAAGTGCTACAGGTCTGTAGTCGTTGAGTCCTGTGATCCTGGGCTTCTTCGGGACGGGGACAATGATGGAGGATTTGAAGCAGGCCGGGACATGGCAGGACTGCAGAGAGGTGTTGAAAATGTCAGTGAACACAGGAGTAAGCTCACTGGCGCAGTGTCTCAGAGTGGCCGGAGACACGTGGTCCGGGCCAGGAGCTTTGCGGGGGTGCAGCCTCAAGAAGAGTTGTTTAATCTCTTTAGAGGCTATTGTTAGGCTGGGGGCAGGGCTGATGGGTGGGTCGTTAGAGTAGTGGGGGGTGGGGGAGGGAGAGGTGTCAGGGGCAGCATCAAAGCGACTGAAAAATAAGTTCAGTTCGTCAGCTAGCTTGTGGTCGTCAGCACAGGGGGGGGCTTTGGGTTTGTAGTTGGTGATCTCCCGTAGGCCCCTCCAGACAGAAAGCAGTATCGTTATTACCAAACTGCTCCTGTAGTCGTTCTCTGTGCCGGGACTTGGCTGCTTTCAGTTCTTTCCTGAACTGATATTTAGCTGCTTTGTAGCCGCTGCGGTCCCCCTCCCTGAAAGCAGACTCCTTTGCTTTCCTGAGCTGCCGGAGTTTAGCAGTGAACCAGGGTTTGTCATTGTTATAGATGACCCTGGTCCTTGTTGGAATGATGCTATCCTCACAGAAGTGAATGTATGACGTCAGTGTCCGTGTATTCATCCAAACTATCTGTGGCAGCTCTGAAAAGGTCCCAGTCTGTAGATTCCATGCATGCGCGCAGCTCTTCCACAGCTTCATCAGACCACACTTTGGAGCTCCTCACTGCAGGTTTCGAGAGCTTTAGTCTCTGTCTGTAAGCAGGAACCAGATGTATCATGGAGTGATCTGAGAAGCCGAGGGCTGGCTTGGGAACAGCGCGAAAAGCTTCGCGCTCGGTGGTGTAACAGTGATCCAGAGTGTTCTCCTCTCTGGTCGCGCATTTGATAAACTGTCTGTATTTGGGTAATTCCTGGCTCAAGTTTCCCTTATTAAAATCTCCCAGGATAATAATCAGAGAGTCCGGGTATAAACGTTCCATACACAGTACTTGCTCTGCGAGTGCGCGCTGAGCCTCGCGCGCGTCCACGCATGGCGGTATGTAAACAGAGGCAAGAATGAATGAAACAATTTCACGAGGGAAGTAAAATGGTTTACAATGAATGAAAAGATATTCCAGAGCAGGAGAGCAGTGCTTGGAGATCACTGTCACATCGTTACACCAGTTTGTATTGACGTAGAAACACAGCCCACCGCCTCTGCTCTTCCCTGAGAGCGCACAATGGCGATCCGCGCGGAACAGCCCAAAGCCCTGCAGCTCCAGAGCGCAGTCCGGGATCCGCTCATTTAGCCAGGTCTCAGTGAAGCAGAGGACACAGGATGTGGCGAAGTCCTTGTTTCTTCTCATGAGCAGGCTGAGTTCGTCCATCTTATTGCCCAGTGAGCGTACGTTGGAGAGAAAAATGCCGGGGAGAGCCGTGCGCGCTCCTCTCCTCCTAAGACGCACCAGCAGGCCTCCGCGCTTTCCCCTTTTACGGGCCCACACTTTTTTGGCTAGAACATGGACTAAATTAGCCGCAGATGCCAAGAAAACAGGCAATAGGTCCATGGGGACGGTGGGTCGGATGTTCATAAGTTCCTCACGGGTGTAGGAACAGCCAGATGCGCAGTTAAAAAGTAAAAACAAAAGAAAAAGAGAGCAGCAAAGAGCCATGTCAACCGTACGAGGCGCCATCTTTGTGAGCCTGGGTCCCTGACAAGATGGAATAGCAGAATGACCCCGAACACATTAAGCAGTGGGGTTTTATTGTATTTAGGATGCGTTACAAGACAAATTTCAACAACCATGCATTCACATGATATTCATTTTGCAGTCTCTTGATATACAGTAGGTGCTCTTCTCACATGAGGGTCCTATTGTCAGTGAGAGAATGGTCAGTAGAGTCAGCAGTCTCCGCAATTGGGCCCAAATGTCTCAAACACAATTTTATACATATAAAGACGCACACATATATGAATACTTTATAATTGCAGACACTAAACATGTTAACCAATAATACAATACTGTCTTCACACTGACAGTAACGAGACAGTATCTGCAACACGGGTCTCAGGATGTTCTGATCGGCTTCGAGTCCAACTACTCTGTGTAGGGTATGAAAATTGTAGTGTAGAGCGGCTAGTCTCCAGATCAGAGTCTTGCCGTTCTACACCAAGGGGGATCTGAGTTTTATTTTGGGCACCAGCAGAGTTTGAAAACGTCTGCACAGATCCAACTAATTTGCCTCGAATCAGTCTTACAATCTGATAGGATGTGGGTACGAAATCAGCCAGGGACGTCAAAAGGATTTAGAAACAGGACGCTTAAAGATGATTTGATTTAAACGTGGGTTTATTGACTACATACAAAAATAGAAAAATATCGACGAGGAGGGTTTGGTCACATTAAACAGAGAGGGAGACACAAAGCCAGCGGGTCCAGTCCAACTTTGATCCACGCATACGCACGCTGTCCAGAAAGCGCTGTATGCGTAGTCGTCCAGAGAGCCGGAAAAGTGGCTGATGATGGAGCAGTTCGTGGTCTCCGACAGCGGTATCGGGGCTGTCCTCGCGGAGTGGAGAGGCCTCAGTGGGTTACAGGCGCGGGTCGTAGTAGGAGACACGTCCCCGCGGAAGTTGCTACAATAATTTCAGGGTTTCCAAGAGGGCGATCTCTGGGTTGTGCGTGTTTTTATTGACTTCCAAAGGAGGCGCGTCCATGACGTCATCCTTGTGCGCCCCCCCTGGACATCCTTCACAACAGACATGTCATAATGGCAAAATGCAGGATTAATACCGACACTCATAACACATGTACAGGCACACAACGCATTTACATTACTGACATTGATACACACGTGTAGGGCACGTAAAGGTTATCAACACAATATCTTAGTTTCGAGTGTCCGTCTCGGGTGTGCTAGTGTCCAGTGTCCACTGGGGGGCGTCAAAACGCCGTGGGTGAGTCGTCAGCTATCCAAAGGCAAGGAATGTCCCCTGGAGTGAGAGCAGACTTTGATCTCTGATCTCGCCAGGGAAAAGATGTTTACCCTGGTGCTCGATTTATTGCTCTGGTTGACAGTTATGGTCTCGGTGACCGATGATGTCCTCTGGCTGACCCGGTCGTTCCTTAGATGTGGCTCAGGAGGGTCATTCTCCGGAGGGCATGTTTACGTATCCTGGTCAGCAGCGTCCGACTGGGTGTCCTTTAATTCACCTTACATCTGTCACAAGTTTCAACAAATCTTTTTCAGGAACAAGTCTCAAATATGTAAAACTCACAAAATCCCCGCAAAACAATGGCCAGAATAGGATTATCACCAGGTTGTTTTTTAACCGTTATGCACCGTTTCCCATTCCTCCTGGCATCTCTTCTCTTCTAACATCGTTTGTATAACCTTATATTAAAATTGATCCATGGTAAAACTAGATATTATAATAGCTCCATGGTAAAGCAAGAGCCTCTGCAGCGCGTGCTGCTTCACAACCAGTGGGGGCGGGTCCCGGCTCAAAAGTGGCCAAAATGACATGCGCTGACATGCTGCAATACCACTCCGGGCCAATGGGGGTGGACCCGGAATAAGAATTAGCCAACGCTAACATATAGCATCTGCTTTCCTCTCGAAAACTTCTTTACAGGATGGTCCAAAAGTTGGCTCTTGGCCCAAAGCTCCACATGTGTGTCAATGCTGAGGGGGGTGAATTTTTTTGGACCAGTCTAGTTTAATCGCTGTGAATTTTTGAAGGCACTCGTTAAATGAATGGATGCGTTTTTTCACATTTTCCAGCCCCCTCGGCCATTTTGAAACTGCCCATAGACCGTGGAATTTGTGGAACATTAGTTAGAACGGCAGAGATGGGCGTGACGGTCCGTTAATATTTACAGTCTGTTCACAATGCAGACTTTGTTTACAGTCCAGATCTGCCCATGTGCGTGAGGCTAATGTATGGCGCAGTAGTGTTTGGAGAGATCCGGTCATTCTTTCCTTAGTGGTCCAGTGAATTGCTGGGTGTTGGGGTCCACTGTCAAGCACGACATATGGTCCTCGGAGGCTTCCGTAGTGTTGGTGGTAGAAGTAGACTTGCAATATATGATCTCAACGCTAGATGGGAGTCAAAAGTATACAGTGTTCCTTTAAAACATCACTGGGTCCAAACCACTCCCTTGTGGTACCCCTCATCTGGTTTACATACACTGTTTTCTCTTCATGTTCTTCTCTGGTCTTGTTTTGGTCTCTCTCTCTGGTCCCTCGCTGGTTTTTCTCTGGCCTCTCTCTCTCTGGCCTCTCTTTCTGGTCTCTTTCTGGTCTCCGGTAGATCTTATTAGCCCCTTCTTCCTGGAGCTGGTAGCAGAGGGGGGAGATGTGGCCGCCAGTCATTTAAAAGAAACGTTTCTAAAGGCTTGTGTAAGCTCTCAGTTGTACAGGAGTTAGACAGAGCAAAGGAAGGTTTCTCACCCATCATCTGTACTTCTTAGCAGGTTTTCCCAACGTTTTGTTCTCATTCCAAAGAACATTTCAAGGGAATGAATGCTCAGGCCGCGCTTTGGAGATTTATAACTTGTGGGTGTGGTTAATCCTGGGGCTAACTCATTGACACATCTAAGGTTTGTTAAGATGGTCGTAAAAGACCACTTTCTAAAGACCATTTAGTAAAAGATCACTTGGGGTAGATGTGACTCCCCCAAGTGATCTTTTACTAAAACCCAAAGGACATAAAAGGCCAGAGAAACAGTCCAACAAAAAGAAAGTAGGAGGAGAGGAGTCTTCTTACCTAATGTGGCTGGAGTTTTCAAACCTTTCAACGCATTAAGACAGAAATTGGTGCATCCCAAAGACATAACACCCAGACACAAACAGAGCAATGTGGTGTATTCAATTAAATGTTGTGAAGAGGAGTGCACTGACCACTATATTCTGGCCCTTTCTGGACCGGTTTGGACACCTCTGCTCTACAGAAAAGACTTTACCAACATTGTAGAGAAAACTAGTGGTCCACAATCGGCTGTAAACCTCCACCTCAAGGCCACCAACTACACCTTGAACGACACGGAGGTTAAAATTCTGGCTCGAGACAAAAATTGTTTTGAGAGAGGGGTGAAAGAAGCCATTTTTGTGAGGAAACAAAAACCTTTTCTTAACAAAGGAGGCGGGTTAAGATTTGTTTGGCCTCACATCTATGACGACGTCCTAAAAACAACGCCCTAACTATAGATAAGGTCAGTGACATGCTAATGAGTTAGGGTCGTTAGACATGCACTCTATTCGAGCCACCTCAGCAGACAATCGGTCTGTGACATGCTAATTAGTTAGGACTGTTAGCCCTAGCAGGGTCGTTAACACATCTTAACACACCTTAGATGTTTTTATGACTTAGCCTAAGAATTAGGGTGTGGCTAACCACACCCACAGGTTATAAATCTCTAACGCGCGGTCTGAGCTTTCATTTCCTTGAAAAAAATCTTAGGATTAAGGACGAAATGTCTAAGAAGTACAGATGATGGTGAGAAACCTTTCTTTCCGTTACAAAAGGCTGAAGATTCAAAATCCAATCCTCTGCTGTGGAACTTTCAGACCGGACTCGGACTGGACTCGGCCTGGGCTCGGACTGGGCTCAGACCTGACCCAGGACTGACTCAGACCTGACTCAGCTCCTGTTTTAAATAAAGTACCATCTGAAACAGGAAGCGTCTCACTTCCTCTCTGCTCTTGAGCAAACATGGATCCTGAGACGAGGGTCTGATCACATAAAAATAAACTCCTCTGGTTCAATAACCACCATTTTAGACTCTCTGTGATTCTCGTGTTTATATTGTGATATTGTGTTTGTGAATCCAGACATATAAGGGTTGACCAATCAGTAGCCTTCTGTGCCTGAAATTGGCTTTTGCGGTGAATAGTGTGATACAGACCAGTACTGCACCTGGCTCTTTGGTTGCTGGGCCGTTACTACCCACAAATATGGCTCTGGATTCTCGCCCAGCTTATTTAAGTTAGCCCTAATCCTCATAGAGCCTGTGTAAGTTAGCACTATTCAATTCAAATCAATGTATTTGTGCGTTGCTCTAAAACACTGCAGACTTCCCGGAGGATTTTAGTTGTGGATTTGTCAAAAACAGATCAGAGAATCAAACAGTTCCAGCGCAGGGAATTCAATAATAACAAACACAGCCATTTGTTCATGGGAAGCAGGATGACTGAGGCTGTAGATCCAGGACTGAGGCTGTAGATCTAGGCTAACATCATGGAGTGTAATGTTTGGGGCAGAGTCAGATGTCCTTTGGTTCAGGTGGCTGTACTCCCTCTTCCCTTCTCCCCTCACCTCGAATCTCTAACCTCTCCTCTTTCTCTCTTTTTTCTTTCCTCTCTTCTTTTTCTCTTCTCTCTCTCCTTCGTCTCTCCTTATTCCTGTTTGGGTTGGCTCTAGTCCTTGTCTCTTGTTTTCAGATGGAGTACTTGCTGCGTAAGCTCTGTGAGGCAATGGGCGGGTCGTGGGTGGAGCAGGGTCTGGACCAGACATGGACCAGGTCTGGGTCGGACCTTTCGGTCTGGGACCTGCTGGAACTCATGGGGGCCGGACTCTTCAAGAACATCCACCGACACACGCTGTCAATGGGCATCAACGAGGTGTTCCAGGAGCTGATCCTAGACGTGCTGAAACAGGTACACACATAGAGACAGACGCACACAGATGCACAGACACACAGAGACACACACATACATATATACACACACACTTATACACTCATATATTGTAAACTCAGATATGCACACCCACACACTCATACACACACACAAATACAAACGCACACCTCGCTCTCTGCAGGGGTTCCTCCTGAAGAAAGGACACAAGAGGAAGAACTGGACAGAGCGCTGGTTCGTGCTCAGACCTCACTGTGTTTCATACTTCACTGGAGAAAATCAGGAGACGAAGAAGGGAGACATCCTGCTGGACGGGAGCTGCTTTGTAGAGGTACGGATACTACTACTGCCACTGCTACAACTGCTACTGCTACAACAACTGCTACTGCTACTGCTACTACTGCTACTGCTGCTGCTTCGTTTGTGTTTCTAATGTGTCCAAACTGTTCCTCTCCTTTTTTCCCCATCACCTCCCCTCTCTCTCCTCTCTCCCCTCTCTCTCCCCCTCTTTCCTCTCTCCTCAACTCTCCTCATAAGTCGCTCCCGGACAAAGAAGGGAAGAAGTGTCTATTTCTGGTGAAATCGTCTCAAAAAAGTTTTGAGATCAGCGCATCAGACAAAAAGAAGAAACAGGAGTGGATCCAAGGTAACACACAGATGCATGTGTACACACCTGTGGGAGCGGGTCAAAGGGTCCACGAGCACGTGCGCTGACATGCTTGTAATCTGACTTCTTGCCGGTGGGGGTGTACCCGGAAACATAATTATCCAGTGCATTCTTGCAACACTTTCTTTCTTTTTGAAAACGGCGTCACAGCCTGGTCCAAAAATTGGCTCTTGGCTCAACGCTACGTTCCAGAAGTGTGTCAATGCTAGTATTATATTAGGGAGTATTATTTTTGGACCAATCTAGTTTAGCTGCTGTGGACTTTGAATGCACTCGTTAAATGAATGGGGCTGGTGCAGCTAACGCATGCACAAATATGTTTTCTCACATTTTCCTGCGGGAGGGGCCACTCGCAGCTATTTTAGAAGAGAGGGCAGGAGGGAAAAGTGATGACACAAGTTTCAACAACAGAGATAAACGTCACTAGGTCCGTTAATAATTAAATTCTGTGGTACACACACATGCACTCACACTCATGCACACACACACATGCACACACACACATGCACACACCCACACACACATGCATGGACGCACATACATGCACACACCCACCCACACACACACACGCATGAACGCGCACACACACATACACATCATGAACAATAGAAATGGATGGTCTGGTCCTGTCTTGTGACACGTTTGCATGTTCTCCTCTCCTTTGCATGTTCTCCTCTTGTTTGCATGTTCTCCTGTCTCGCACGTTTTCTTGTTTGCATGTTCTCCTCTCTTTTTCATGTTCTTCCCTTGTTTGCATGTCTTCCTCTCTTTTGCATGTTCTCCTCTCGTTTGCATGTTCTCCTCTTGTTTGCATCTTCTCCTCAGCCTTACAGATGGTGGTGTCGTTGCTACGGCAGCATAGAGCCGCTCCTCACAGAGAAGCTCGTGAGAAGAGGAGGGAGCAGAGGAGGAGGCTGCAGGAGGAGCAGAGGGAGCTGGAGCAGAAGATGAGCGAGCTGCAAACATCCAACGAGGAGAAACAGAGGGAGCTGGAGGAGGTCCGGAAGGTGAGAGAGACCAGGGAGAGAGACCAGAGAGAGAGACCAGAGAGAGAGACCAGAGAGAGAGACCAGAGAGAGAGACCAGAGAGAGAGACCAGAGAGAGAGACCAGAGAGAGAGACCTGAGAGAGAGACCTCAGAGAGAGACCTGAGAGAGAGACCAGAGAGACAGACCAGAGAGAGAGACCAGAGAGAGAGACCAGAGAGAGAGACCAGAAACAAGACAAAGCGTCCCAAACTTCAGCTGAACATAGGGACCATGAACAGATGACGAGTGAACCAAGTGTGACATCACCATAGTGTTAGCCTAATGGAGATAATTTTATTATTGGGCATTTCCTCTGCTGCGTGCTTAGTGCCGTAACAGCAGCAGATGTGTTTCTAAGACAGTTGCTAAGGCAAGCTGGAGTTTCCCCCAAATGAAGGCATCTGATTGGTCAATGCTTATCATATTACAAAGACAATATCACAATATAAACACCAGGATCACAGAGAGCGCTAAACCACGGCCCATTTAAGCCCAAGATGGTGAGTGGTCTCTCTGGTCTCTCTGGTCTCTCACTGGTCTCTCTCTGGTCTCTGGTAGTCTTGTTTGATCAGACACATTCCTGAAGCCGCGTCACTGAACAAACTGGTTTAAAAGACAAAACGAGACAAAAACAAAGACGTCATTCAACAGAAAAACCATCATGACTCAGAAACACAACTACTACTGCTGCAGCTGCTAAAAACTTGACTCAACAGTGTTCAGGAAGGTTTTTTATATATCAACACTAAAGTCTTTCGTTTCCTCTGAACTGAGCTCAGTGATGTCATGCGATAGAGCGTTCTATTTACGGAGAGCACATTGGGGGAAAGCTGCTTCTCCTACTTTTAGGTTGACTGAACTTCATTACCGAGCTCTGAGCCTTTATTGACTACTAAAACTACTACAAGTTGTTGTAGTTGTACATGCAATATTTTCAGTACTTGTAGTATTAATGTGCTTATTTGCAGGCTCTGCTGGCGGCGGCAGAGAACGCAGCAGAAGAAGAACGCAGACGACTTCAGACTCAGACAGAACTCCAGGAGAGATTCAAGAGCGAACTGGACCAGGAGAAACTGGTGAGTCCTGCTACCACTACTGCTACTACTACTGCTAGTACTACTACTAGACAAGGAAAAGCAAGTTTATTTGTATAGCACAGTTCATACATAACTCAAAGTGCTAAACACAACAAGTTAGAAACATGAAAATTACACAAAGCACTGAAATCATACATTTCCAGTACATTAATAAAGAGTGTAGATCCAATTCTTTCCAACAGTGACAGAGAAGAAGCCTGTCTCATATTTTCTGGAAGACCAGATTTTAGCTGCATACATCTGAAACACTGCCTCCCCATGTCGAGTTCAGACTCTGGGCACCAGCAGGTGTCCAGTCCCTGTGAAGGAGTTAAGTCCCCATGCTCCTCAACATGAATTTTAGAGTCTAGTTTTTGAGCCACAGGAAGCCAGTGCAGAGATCTGAGACCAGGACTAATATGAGAGGACTTCCTATTACTACTACTGCTACTGCTGCTAGATTTAATATCTTGCTTGTTCTCTTCGTGCAGGTGCGAGCGCAGGCTGAGCAGCAGATGTTGCAGAAGTCCTCTGAGCTGGAGGTGTATCTGCAGAGGGTGAAGGAGCTGGAGCTCATGTACCAGCAGCTTGAGGGCGCTCTGGAGGAGGAGCGCAGAGCCAGAGGAGAAGAGGAGGCCGTGAGGACCCTGCAGAGCAGGTGAACCCCCACATCTTCTGTCTGAATGCTCGGCTTTAGACTCTGCTCCACAGGTTTATGGTCAGTGTAAAAGGATGAATCCTCAGACGGCATGGACAGAGCTGTTTTCACTAGAGTTTTATGTTTTATTATTAGTGATTTATGTTTGTATTGAAACCAGGGATAGAGCTCCACATGGGACTCATGCGTTTCTGCTCCAGGCTCTTTGTCTCGGTCTATTTTAGACTTGGGCAGTTCCCTCTGCGCTTCCTTCCTCCATACTCAGTGCACATAATGCTGCTGCTGCTTGTCCTGGTCCAGACCTGGTCAATTCTGGTCTCTGGTTCAGTCCTTTAGTTAGACTTCTGAATGCAGCCTCGTTAAAAACCTGCTCACACACTGGGCTCCCACAGGACTAAAGCAAGACTAAAAAGTAGGACTAAAGCAGGACTTAAGTATGTCTAAAGCAGGACTAAAGCAGGACTAAAGCAGGACTAAAGCAGGACTAAAGCAGGACTAAAGCAGGACTAAAGCAGGACTAAAGCAGGACTAAAGCAGGACTAAAGCAGGACTTAAGCAGGGCTAAAGCAGGGCTAAAGCAAGACTATAGCAAGTCTGAACTGGGACCAGTCCAGGTCTAACAGGGCGCCCTCTGGTAACAGCTTCAGGTACTGTGGTAAAGACTTCTGCACAACTTCTGTTTAAAATAACAAGAATAAAGATGTTATTCTTATATTGAATAATTCTTTTATCACATCAAAGTAGTAGACGACTGTGGCATCAGAGAAAAAATGAGACATAGAAACACAGCTTCAGACCTGGCTTTAGACCTGCTTTTGTCCTGCTTTAGTCCTGTTTTAGACCAGTTTTAGTCCTGCTTTAAACCTACTTTAGGGCTGCTTTAGACCTGGTCCAGGCCTGGTTCAGACCTAGCCCAGAGCTCCTTCAGTCCTTGTTCAGACCTTATTCAGACCTGGTTCAGATATTGTTTCAATCCTGGTTGAGTTCTAGTTCAGACCTGGTCCAGACCTGGTTCATACCTGCTTGTTGCAGGCTGCTGGAGGAGGAGTCTCTGAAGCGTGCTGAGTTGGAGCAGATCCACCTGAACCAGAAGAGGGCGCTGTCTGAGACCGAGGCCGAGAACCAGGAGCTGCAGAAGGAGCGTGCGGCCAAGGAGGCAGAGCTACAGGAGGCCATGACGCAACTCGACCAATTAGAGACCGAGAGGAGGGGCGCGCTGCAGCAGTATGAGGTGAGAGGGACGGGACTTTGGCTCCTCCTTTTTCACAATTTTGGGCTTAAAGAGCAACTAAACACCAAACCAACTTTTCTTAACTCATAAGCTGCATAAATATGTTTATTATAGTGCTCTCTACATATTCCGGTAATTTTTTTGACATTTTAGTGCATATTAGATAAAATCTCACTTTTGAGCCTAAAAACATCTGTGTGGCGCCCTCTCAACATTTTCAGTGGTACTACATTTGAATTTGGTCCTGGCCTCTCCATGGGCTATATGCATGAGGAGGCGTGACGTCATTTCCTGTTAACAAAGATCAGCCCGTCCACTTCCTGCCTATCCTATCCTGTGGCTTTTAGGTGGGTTTTAGTGACGTTTTTAAGTAATTAGATTGATACATTCAGCTGTGAGACTGACCCAAAGGTGTGGCTGTGCTTTCTCTCTGAGGTAGAGCTTCGACTGTGGCCACTCAGAGAGATTAGTTAACTTTATAAAAACACAATGACAGCACAATCAAAGAGCACTGCTGTGTCCCAAAAATGCCCAGTATCCTCACAGTTTAATTCCCATTTGAGCATTATTTGGGAAACTCATGTAAACCACTGCTGAACTCCAGTGAAAATCGAGCCGTTTCCCGCGAACAGGGGTCGTAGCTAAAACGCGGAAGTGGTGCGTGCACAGAGCCCATTGACTCTGTTATACTGTGTGACGTCAGTTTATATGTGTGACGTGCGTCCGTCTGCGCAACTCTCACACAAGCCCCAGTAGCAGGTTGGAGTATTCTGGCGACGTCTAGTGGATTAAAATAAAATTACATGAGTTAAAAACCACTGCTGCTGAGATAATTCTGTGGATTAGGTTCAGGTGTGTAGCTCTACAGTTATTTTAGTGTGTAAAGAATCAGAATCAGAATCAGAATCATTTTTATTGCCAACGTAAGTAACAGGAGGTCACAGACTTGGAAATTGCTTTGGCTCAGTGCAACAGTCAAAAAGAGATAATAAAAATAAGAATAAAAAACACTTCTAAAGAATAAATTTAAATTTAAAATAGAGTTACAGTTACTATTTACAATATACAAGTGCACATGGTGCACACAATGTAAGGTGACAGCAGTACAGTAAAGTAAAGTGACGTATGATGGGCAGTAAAGTTTAAAAGGGCGGGGGGACAGGTTAAGAAGTGTTCAAGAGTCCAACAGCAGAGGGGAAGAAACTGTTCTTGTGGCGGGAGGTTCTAGTCCTGATGGACCGCAGCCTCCTGCCTGAGGGGAGTGGTTGGAATAGTCCATGTGCAGGGTGAGAGGGGTCGGCTGTGATACGACCAGCCCGGCCTCGAGCTCGGGCGACGTACAGGTCCTGCAGCGATGGAAGGCTGCGGCCGATCACTTCCTCTGCAGAGCGCACAATGCGCTGTAGTCTCTGTTTGTCCCTGACTGTGGCTCCAGCGAACCACACGGTGACGGAGGAGGTGAGGATGGACTCGATGATGGCCGTGTAGAACTGCACCAACATCTGTGCAGGCAGCTTGGCTTTCCTGAGCTGCCGTAGGAAGTACATCCTCTGCTGGGCCTTCTTGATGAGGGAGCTGATGGTCGGCTCCCACTTGAGGTCCTGGGTGATGGTGGTGCCCAGGAAACGGAAGGACTCCACAGAGGTGATGGGGGAGTCCATCACGGAGGGTGGGGGCGGGGGGACAGTGCTCTTCCTGAAGTCCACAATCATCTCCACTGTCTTCTGGGCGTTCAGCTCCAGGTTGTTACCACTGCACCAGGACACCAGCCGGTCCACCTCCCTCCTGTAGGCGGACTCATCGTTGTTGGAGATGAGTCCAATGAGGGTGGTGTCGTCCGCGAACTTGATCAGCTTCACGGAGTCGTGGCTGGAGGTGCAGTGGTTGGTGTACAGGGAGAAGAGCAGGGGAGAAAGAACACAGCCCTGTGGGGCTCCTGTATTTATAATCCGAGAGTCCGAGACATTCTTCCCCAGACGCACTCGCTGCTTCCTGTCCGTCAGGAAGTCAGTGATCCACCTGCAGGTGGAATCGGGCACGTTGAGCTGGAAGAGCTTGTCCTGGAGCAGGAATGGCAGGATTGTGTTGAAGGCAGAGCTGAAGTCCACGAACAGGACCCTGGCGTAGGTCCCCGGGGAGTCCAGGTGCTGTAGGATGTGGTGGAGGGCCAGGTTAATGGCGTCGTCTACAGATCTGTTGGCTCTGTAGGCGAACTGCAGGGGGTCCAGGAGGGGGGAGGTGAGGGACTTGAGATGGGAGAGAACCAGGCGTTCAAATGACTTCATGACGACAGACGTAAGTGCTACAGGTCTGTAGTCATTGAGTCCTGTGATCCTGGGCTTCTTCGGGACGGGGACAATGATGGAGGATTTGAAGCAGGCCGGGACATGGCAGGACTGCAGAGAGGTGTTGAAAATGTCCGTGAACACAGGAGTAAGCTCACTGGCGCAGTGTCTCAGAGTGGCCGGAGACACGTGGTCCGGGCCAGGAGCTTTGCGGGGGTGCAGCCTCAAGAAGAGTTGTTTAATCTCTTTAGCGGCTATTGTTAGGCTGGGGGCAGGGCTGATGGGTGGGTCGTTAGAGTAGTGGGGGGTGGGGGAGGGAGAGGTGTCAGGGGCAGCATGAAAGCGACTGAAAAATAAGTTCAGTTCGTCAGCTAGCTTGTGGTCATCAGCACAGGGGGGGGCTTTGGGTTTGTAGTTGGTGATCTCCCGTAGGCCCCTCCAGACAGAAGCAGTATTGTTATTACCAAACTGCTCCTGTAGTCGTTCTCTGTGCCGGGACTTGGCTGCTTTCAGTTCTTTCCTGAACTGATATTTAGCTGCTTTGTAGCCGCTGCGGTCCCCCTCCCTGAAAGCAGACTCCTTTGCTTTCCTGAGCTGCCGGAGTTTAGCAGTGAACCAGGGTTTGTCATTGTTATAGATGACCCTGGTCCTTGTTGGAATGATGCTATCCTCGCAGAAGTGAATGTATGACGTCACAGTGTCCGTGTATTCATCCAAACTGTCTGTGGCAGCTCTGAAAAGGTCCCAGTCTGTAGATTCCATGCATGCGCGCAGCTCTTCCACAGCTTCATCAGACCACACTTTGGAGCTCCTCACTGCAGGTTTCGAGAGCTTTAGTCTCTGTCTGTAAGCAGGAACCAGATGTATCATGGAGTGATCTGAGAAGCCGAGGGCTGGCTTGGGAACAGCGCGAAAAGCTCCGCGCACGGTGGTGTAACAGTGATCCAGAGTGTTCTCCTCTCTGGTCGGGCATTTGATAAACTGTCTGTATTTGGGTAATTCCTGGCTCAAGTTTCCCTTATTAAAATCCCCCAGGATAATAATCAGAGAGTCCGGGTATAAACGTTCCATACACAGTACTTGCTCTGCGAGTGCGGGCTGAGCCTCGCGCGCATCCGCGCATGGCGGTATGTAAACAGAGGCAAGAATGAATGAAACAATTTCGCGCGGGGAGTAATATGGTTTACAATGAATGAAAAGATATTCCAGAGCAGGAGAGCAGTGCTTGGAGATCACTGTCACATCGTTACACCAGTTTGTATTGACGTAGAAACAGAGCCCTCCGCCTCTGCACTTCCCTGAGAGCGCACAATGGCGATCCGCGCGGAACAGCCCAAAGCCCTGCAGCTCCAGAGCGCAGTCCGGGATCCGCTCATTTAGCCAGGTCTCAGTGAAGCAGAGGACACAGGATGTGGCGAAGTCCTTGTTTCTCACAAGGGTGGAATGAGACTTTCTGGTGTGTAAACTATAGATGGTTTTCCATCACGTGCTTATTACCCATAATGCTTTGCGCGGACGCCATACTGTTTGTCTAGATTATTTTGCACGGATCATTTGTCATGGATCATTTGTCACGGATCATTTGTTCCCATGTCATCTAAAGCCACGAATTCGGCCGACGCTGACCGCGTTAAGTATATTGATACACTGGAGTAACCTGTGAGGCAAGATCCTTGGAGAAATTGAGAGTGATCGGAGATTTGGATCCATATGAAATGTGGCGAGACCAGTGGACTTTGCCAGAAATGGCTTTCTTTCACTTAACAGTTTTACAATTAAAAAAAGGTCATTATGTATATGATGCAATATTTCTTTCAATCAATAATTTATTTTGAACGAACTAGTTTATATCACTGGCCGTAAATCACTTCTGTCTACCACCCTTTCCCCCTCCCCCTCCCCTCCTCCTCCTCCTCCTCCCCCTCTTGAGGCTCATATATACATTGTATCACAGTCAAATCGCAGCTCTGAACATAAACCACACATGCACAGATTTAGCGAGCTCTTACCTGTTATGAAATGGTCAGAACAGACTTTATAGTGCCGTTTTTCAGGGGGTTAGGATTGCATCCCTCTCGCCAACAAAGGGTTCTTTTCTCCGTCGAGAGTTGTGTGTGAGTTTTTGCGCCATGTTTTAGCGCAAAAAAAGTGATTTGAGCACTTTGTTTACCTACAACTAGCGGCAGCTAGACAGCCAATATGGCGAACTGCGGAATTGTGGGTAGTGTGTGATGCCAATGGAAAAACCATCTATTGCTTTAAGCAGAAATGACAACCACGCCCAACTCTAAGCCCCCCCTTCTTGTCCCTTGGTCCTCCAGGGAACTCCCTTTTTACAGAAAATGTTCAAATGTTCAAATGTTCATGGGTGAAGAGTCAGGCTGCTCACAGGTGTTTAGTCGTTCTTTAAAAAAAGTTAGCTAAGATAAGCTAAGTTGTGCTTCTTGGGAGTCCCTTCACAAAACTACATGTCTAAGTGTAAAAGTTGTGGATTTAACTAATGTTTGTGAACAAATAAATAAATAAATAAATAAATAGCTCTAATCCTCATGGAGCCTGTAGAGTTAGCTCTTGTCCTAAATGTTTGTTTTCAGACGGTGATGAAGAAACTGGAAAACGCCACAAATAAAACCAAGAGCTGGAAACACAAAGTGGAGGAACATGAGGGACTACTGCGCCTCATACAGCCAGGTACCGGTACTGCAGAATTCAATCTAGGATATGTGACTTAAAGTAGCAGTATGTAATATTTGCATGTCAAGTCATCATTAAATGGCCCCAGTATTTCAAAAGGCATCATTAAATCATGCTCTTTTCGAATACATCTTTAACTGTTAACAGTAGTTCAGCCGAGATATGTGAATATCAAAATTAGTTTTACGACCTGTAAAAGTTGTTATTGTTTTCATTTCGATGTCCTACCCGCCACCGTTTCGCCAATCAGGAAGTCCGAGGTCCGGGTTGCCACAACTCCCCTAGCTAAAGTAACATGTGGCCGCAGAACTAAAAAAGGTCTTGTTACGATTCTCAAATCATTAATGACAAAACATAGACTAAAACGAGGATTTATATCGGGACGCCTTTGAAAACTTAAGATAATTGAAGTCGGATACAAACTTTCCGTGATGCAGAATTTGCTGCGTTGAGTGCGTTCATTGACAGTTTAACTACCTGCCTGGATTCCAAATGGTTAAGTCATAGTGCTGGCACCCCAGTGGACTTCGTCTGAAGCCGAGCTGGATTTATTTTAGATTAAACAATAAATGATTTATTCTATGACTGATTGTTCAAAAAACGGTAAAAGGTCCAAACATGTCGTTATTTGCAGATTAAAGCTAAAGTAATAAGAATCATTTGAGACCACATGTACCCACTTATAATAATGTTACTCTCTTTTTGATGTGGGACTTATACAGGTATGTCTAAAAAATAGGGAATAAAGAAAATTGAAGGGTGATGTCCTCTGGAGGAAACCCTGATGTTGATACGCTGAAGAAATATGTTCCAACATCCATTCTTCCCACTCCTATTTTTTCTCATCTAAAATTTTCAACAACAAAAAACATTCATTCAACATTAGCACGGCTATCGTGGAAATGTGAGAGACAGACAAATAACTGATAAAATAATTCCTTGTGTTTGCTGCTGGATTTGGTGTGTATCTGGCAACCTGAGTGAGGGAGAGTGGGAGAGGACTACAACATATTGACTGTGACTGCAGTACCACTTTTGGCCAGATTTTTACATACTGCTCCTTTAAAAGCATGTAACGCCTATTTATCTGTAACTTTTACAGTTGCTCCAAATTAAAAAACAAACTAAAAAATTTTAACCAATCACAAATGTGACCTTTTTGTGTCCCATTGACGCACAAATACGTCAAAGCAAATAGTAACGTCGTGTGCCATTGACGCATTAATCCGTCAATTGCCTTTTTTGCTATTTTCACGTTCCCAGATGTCTATTGTATCTAATATGTATGGGGATGACTTGAGACCATATTTTATCGAGCCAGCAGGTGGCAGCATTGCTCTCTGAATGGTTTGAAAACATGTAGGTGCACATGTTGTGCCTCTTTTTTCTCAACTTTCTGGTGATTTCTGGTGATTTCAGTAAAACTTCCCTCTACTCGACGGAGGATTACAGGGGAACGAAAAAAGCTATAAACAAAATTCTTTTTGCTGAGGAAAGTAGACAGTCCATTCTTTTAAAATCTGGTGTCGGATTTCAGATAGTCATAGTACACAATATTCTGTGGGTCTTGAAAAATCAGTAAAAATCATCAGAAATGGCTGGCACTGTGGGAGTACCTGTTCTGAAATAGGCTGGCATTCAATGAGTTAAGAATATTTTCCTCAACCATGTTTTTGATTCGTTGTCATAGGCTTAGAATTTGACTTATAAAATGTCCATGAGGCTGGAGGACGCTCCATGTCAATGTGCCATCTTGAAATACATTGGTTGCAAGAATAGCGCTTTCGTTTCAAAGGTGCTACTGATATTGTTGCTTTCACCGTGCCCTCACAAGTTTGAACCATGGAGGACCACAGTTATGTAAAAGAACGACCCGAACAAGAATCTTTAACAAAAACAATTATGCAAAAATCTAGAAGCCGGCATCATAACAGCAAACTGTCAACATCGAAAACCACACGTAGAGAAAGACAGAGTTAAAACAACGGGAGGCACATTGTGTAGTTTGTACACAACAAACGCACACGGGAACAATACGTAACTTTCTTCACAGCGACAGTAACGAGAACGAGGCAGAATCTCTAACATGGGTCTCAGGATGTTCTGACCCGCTCCAAGCAATAGTCCAACTACTATGTCACAAGTTTCAACAAACTCGCACATGGACAGTAACATCTTATCTTGTGTTTCTGAAATTCAGGGACAACAAATATGCAGAACACATAGAATCCCTGCAAAACAATCGCCAGAATCGGTTTATCACCACCGTGAGTTTGAAGGTTCTGTTTTCTTACCTGATGATGCAGATGCGGCGCCGTGGAGAAAGCTATTTATAATCTGAGCTTTTAGCCACAGTTCTGCCGCGGCTGTGTCCATTCCTTCATCCCTGCTTCAGAACGCAGACTGTTTACATGTCCGCCTCCACGCACTTGCGGTGGTTATTTACATTTTAGCGCTACTGTGTCAAGTGACCAAGATGTTTGGAGAGATCCGGTCTTTTATCAAACTAAAGGATTCTTTCCTTGGCCCCGGTTCGAAGACCGGGAGTTGCGGACCACATTATTGTCCATCAAAGCTTCCGTAGTGTTGCCGGGAAAAAAAAGTAAACTACAATATATGATCTCAACGCTAGATGGGAGTAAAAACTACACAGTGTACCTTTAAACACGTGTTATTTATGAAACATGAATGATGTTTGTGTGCAGGCCAGAAGGGGGCGCTGATGGTGACCAACTGGGGTCCTGCTGCTGTTTCTGAAGCTGAACTCCTCCACAGAGAAAAGGAGTGGCAAGGGAAGAAGAGCCAGAACTAAATCTGGACTAAACCTGGACTAAACCAAGACTAAACCAAGAATAAATCAGGACTAAACCTGGACTAAAACCAGATTAAAGAATACTCAACTAACAGGAGCTGTCTGTAGAGGTGCCATCAGGAGCTACACTCGTGTCTTTGTGTAAATAGATGTAGATTAGAGTCTGTGTTTTGTGTAAAAAATAAATGATTTTATTCAAAATGTCTAAAATTCTTAATTGTTCAATTTTAGGGTTAGTGTAAGTCCGTACAAAGGGGTCTGTAGTTTAGGTGAGGAGGGAGCGGCAAACTTACAGAGAGTATCTTTAATGCAGAGAGTGGGAAGGATTCCACATAAGGGCGCCACCTGCTGATATTGAGTTCATCTGATCTCTCTCTCTCTCTCCTCTCTCCTCTCTCCTCTCTCCTCTCTTCTCCTCTCTCTCTCTCTCCTCTTCCCTCTCATCTCTCTCCTCACTCTTCCCCCTCTCATCTCTCTCCTCACTCTTCTCTCTCATCTCTCTCTCCTCACTCTTCTCTCTCATCTCTCTCTCCTCACTCCTCTTACCAGATAGAGACCAAAGAGTAGTCCTGAGTGCACTGTGATCCTGGAGCTCGGATTGTAGCCGCTGCTCCTCTTTGAATTGTAGCTGGTGCTCCTCTTTGGAGTCCAGCCGCTCCTCCTCTGTGCCTGGAGCTCGAAGTGTAGCCGCTGCTCCTCTGCCTGCTCCCGGCCTCAGCTTCACAGATGTTCTTCATGCTTTAGAGATGACGAGTTTATGGGACAGCTGTGAGGAGTTTGTCTTCTATTATTAGATACAGATATTTATAGACTTGGACTTGGTCTGGACCTGGTTTTGGTCCGGGTCTGGTTCTGATTCGGGTGATGAAACCGCATTCCTGGGATTCTCAAAGTTCCAACATCTGTGAGAGGGACCCAGGCGCTGTGAGTCAGGCTCAACATCCTCATTTATGGACTATCAGAACTCACCAAAAAAAAAAAACTAAAAGTATATTTGCAAGCGACGATGAACGGCCCTCGTCTTCACCAAACTACAACTAATAAAGGGCATTATGTGGCTCCCCCTGCTGGTGGTGGGAGACCAGAGGGACCAGGGAGAGACCAAAGAGAGTGACAAGAGAGAGACCAGAGAGAAAGACCAAAAAGGGAGACCAGAGGTATGGAACAGAGAGCGACCAGAGAGAAACCAGAGATACAGTAGAGACCACTGAGAAAGACCAGAGAGAGAACCAGGGAGAGAGACCTGTGAGAGGCCAGAGAGCAACCAGAGAGACCAAAGAGGGGGAGACCAGGGAGAGAGACCAGAAAGAGAGATCAGAGGGAGAGAGCAGAGGGATAAACCAGAGAGAGACTTGGGAGAGACCAGAGGGAAAGACCAGAGAGCAAACAGAGAGACCAAAGAGAAAGAGAACAGAGTGACCAGAGAGAGAGAGACCACAGGGAAGGGCCAGAGTGAGACCAGAGAGGAACCAGAGAGACCATGAGAGACCAAAGAGCAACAAGAGTGAGACCAGAGAGAAACCAGAGAGACCATGAGAGACCAAAGAGCGACAAGAGTGAGACCAGAGCGTGACCAGAGAGAGCAGAGAGCAACAAGCGAAACCTGAAAGAGAGACCAGAGACAATGATAAACCAGAGAGCTTCAGTGTCTTTAATTGAGTCTCACTGACATTTTCGGAACAAGACCTGAATTTTATGAAAAACCTTTTTTTTCTCGTTCCACAATAAATATATATATATCTCTTTTATATCAGTTACATCTGTTCTAAACTATGAAAATGAGGAGATCCTGCATTTGTCGCACAGAAAGGAAATGTCAGTTTTGCCTCACAGGGTCCAGAGCACACAACACAAGAGAAGTGTAAATGAAGTTCAGCACAAGTTTGTTTTTCTATAGCTTTAGCTTAAAACAACGTCCCATATTGCACATTCTGACAATATTGCTCAGCAGTGTTCCTTATTCATTGTACAGTCTGACAGCAGACTGTTATAAAGTTATGAAGCCGTTCGTCTTTCTCCAGAAATGACTCATAAACACACATTTGGAGGGAGGGGTGTGAGGGGCTATGGGGGGGAGTCCGCTGGGGGCCTGGTCTCTGTATAAAAGGGTCTGAGTAGATCATCTTTGTGGATTTGGTCTTTGTGAACTTGGTCTTAGTAGTTCTGGTCTTTGTGGTTCTGGTCTTTGTGGACCTGGTCTTTGTGGTTCTGGTCTTAGTAGTTCTGGTCTTAGTAGTTCTGGTCTTATTAGTTCTGGTCTTATTAGTTCTGGTCTTAGTAGGTCTGGTCTTAGTGGTTCTGGTCTTATTAGTTCTGGTCTTATTAGTTCTGGTCTTAGTAGTTCTGGTCTTAGTGGTTCTGGTCTTAGTGGTTCTGGTCTTAGTGGTTCTGGTCTTATTAGTTCTGGTCTTATTAGTTCTGGTCTTAGTAGTTCTGGTCTTAGTAGTTCTGGTCTTAGTAGTTCTGGTCTTTGTGGTTCTGGTCTTTGTAGTTCTGGTCTTTGTGGTTCTGGTCTTAGTGGTTCTGGTCTTTGTGGTTCTGGTCTTTGTAGTTCTGGTCTTTGTGGTTCTGGTCTTAGTGGTTCTGGTCTTTGTGGTTCTGGTCTTTGTGGACCTGGTCTTTGTGAACCTGGTCTTGAGGATCTTCAGCAGCAACATTCTGAGGTGAGACTTCAAATTGGCTTGAGGGCACTCCAGCTCAATTGTTAAAGTTAGAAGCGCTGTTAACCACTCCAGCTTGTGTGTTAAAGTTAGAAGCACTGCTAACTCTTCCAGCTTGTGTGTTAAAGTTAGAAGCACTTCAGACCTGTGAGTAAAGGTGTTGTTTCCACAGAGGATGAAGCTGTTTCTGTTGCTGATTTTCTCACTGCTGTCGACGGCTCTGCTGCGGCCGGCTCCTCCCCCTCTGTGAGTCACATAGAAGCACTGCTAACCATTGCACATCTGTGTTCAGAAAGTTAGAAGCACAGCTAACCACGAGGTGTTTTGTTTTCAGAGCTGAAGATCGGCTTCAGAGTCGAGTGAATAGAGAAAAGCCAGCAACTGTCAAGTGAGTACTGCAGCTATGGTCTAAGCTGGATGGACTTAGAAGCACTGCTAACACAGAAATGTTGACTATAGTAGTGTTTGCATTGGGGCAGTCAGAGCTGTCCTCAGTGTGGTGTCTCTCAGGGCTGTTCAAGTCCTGTTACTCCATCAAACCAAGACCTCCACACAGCGGGGGGGCTCTGGGCCCGGTCCTCTCCAGGTCCTTGTTGTCTCCAGGTCCTTGTTGTCTCCAGGCCCCAGTCCTCTCCGGACCCTGGTCTTCTTCAGGTCCAGATCCAGGTCCACAGGAAGACTTCCAGTCTTGTTGGTCTTGGTCCAGATCCTCATCCAGTCCCAGTCCTCAAGAGGACTTATAGTCCCTCTGGTCTTGGTCCTGGTCCCGGTCCTGGTCCTGGTCCCGATCTTCAGAAAGACTTCCAGTCTCTCTGGTCTTGTTAATCGTGTTGTTCTGTCTCTCACAGACAGGGGGCGCTCTCTGGTTGTCACTTGTCCACATGTGTCCAGCACCAGCTCATCCACGCCCTTTTCCTGCTACAGCAGGAACAGTACAAGAACACCAGCTCCCCCGACAAGATCAAAAAGTACGGAAGGAGGAGGAGGGGGGTAGAACGGCCAAGACCAGTCCAGGCCAAGGCTTCTGGAGGGTAGACCAGTCCAGACCAGTCCAGGCTGAGGCCTCTGAAGACCGGTCCAGACCCGGCCCTGGCCAGACTCTCTCATCATCATCATATAATCTCATATCCTGTTTGTCTTTGATATTATAATTGTATATTTTTTATATTATTATAAGATAAACAATGAACTAAATATATTTATTTATACTTTTGTCTTGTGAATAAAATGAAAAATAAATTATTTTTCTACATTTGACTGGGGTTTATGTCAAACTCAAGTAGAGAGAGATGGACAACCCGCTTGCTCAATGCTAACCTGCTAGCTAGATGCTAATCCACAAGCTCAATGCTAACCAGCTAGCTCAGTGCTAATCAAGCTCAATGCTAACCTGCTAGCTCAATGTTGATGAAGTTTGGCTCTAACTCCCTCTGACCACTATTTACTTAGATGTAAAAGTCAACTTAATTTGGTGAAACTCAAGCTTATACTATATATTATTTTATAGCTTATATTAGCAACTGTCTTAGGAGCCAGAGTGAGTTGGAGCTAAATTTCAGCCAGTTACAGTTCCCTAGTGGGCTTGAGCTAGCGGGTAAGCATTAAGCTTGCGAGTTAGCATTGAGTTACCCGTTAGCATTGTCCATCTATATACAATCTGTAATGTTCAGTTTCTGTGAAGTCAGTTATTTCAGCGGAATTTTCTGTAGACAACAGTTGGTGGTTACCGTGACAACGCTCTGCTGCTATGATACAGGTGAGAAGGGAGCTATGCAGTTTTCATAAATTTGGTATAATTTACATAGCAATAATAAGTTGTATCCATCACAGAATGTTTGATAGTTAAAGTTTGTATTGTAATCTGAGAGGTGTTTGAGAAGCGAGAGCCAGGTGAGGAAGAGGGAAGAAGCTGTCTGTGATTGGACGTAGTGACAAAAAAAACGAATGCTAGCTACTGTCAACCGTTGTGAACAAATCAGAAAACATCTTTTGTGTAAAGCCTGGTTCACACGAGACGATTTTAAAATTGTCGGCCGATTTTTCTCCGTGTTAGACCCCACACGGGGAGATTAAAAATCCTGCGTCTAACCACTTTGGTCGTGCAGTGTGTGGTGCGTAGCCACACGGCACCGCGGTGAAGTTGGTTTCACGTTGGACGTTGGATATTCGCCTCCAGCACTAAGATCGTTCGAACTTAGGGACCGTCTATGAATTACTGTCTTTGTAAAAAGGCGTTGGTTTAAAAAAAATAATGTAGGTGTAAATCAATAATGTGATACAAATAAACAATTTTAATGAAAGGAGATAGATTAAATGTAATCTTTAGGTGTATTTTCTACCACATTTAATATTATAGTATTTTATACCTACTGTTGAATGTAGCCTATATATTTTCAATAAGCCTATATTCGGAATCATGTGAACCAGCAAAGTAAATAATATTTACCACACGTTTTTATTCCTATTTTCATGTTTTGAAACTTTAGAAAAATCATAATCCTGGAAAATCACCAAAAAATACAATATTTTTTTCAATAGGTTTATGGTTATGTGACCCAGTCACCCCAAACCACTTTACAAAATTAGTACTACCTCTAGGCTATGGGGCTCAGGCCATGAAATTATGCTTAATAGATTTGGTGTATTTTTCAAGGATTTTTGATTGAAAGTATGGGTTTTTCCTCAATAGCTTTTAAGGCATTTGACCCAGTCACCCCAGAATACTTTACAAAATTAGTACTACCTCTAGGCTATGGGGCTCAGGCAATGAAATTATGCTTAATAGATTTGGTGTATTTTTCAAGGATTTTTTTATATAAAGTATGGGTTTTTCCTCAATACCTTTTAGGGCATTTGACCCAGTCACCCCAAAACACTTTACAAAATTTGTACTACCTCTAGGCTATGGGGCTCAGCCCTTGAATTTTTTCTTAAAAGCTTTTAAAATTATTTTTGGGTTAAAAATACCAGTTTTTCTTCAATAGCTTTTAGGGTATTTGACCCATTTACTCCAAACCACTTTTAAATAATAGTACTACCTGAGGGCTATGGGGCTCAGCCCTTGAAATTGTTCTTAAAAGCTTTTAAAATTATTTTGTGCCTAAAAATACCAGTTTTTCTTCAATAGCTTTTAGGGCATTTGACCCATTTACTCCAAACCACTTTTAAATAATAGTAATAAATGAGGGCTATTGGGCTCAGCCCTTGAAATTTTTCTTAAAAGCTTTTAAAATTATGTTTTGCCTAAAAATACCAGTTTTTCTTCAATAGCTTTTAGGGCATTTGACCCATTTACTCCAAACCACTTTTAAATAATAGTACTACCTGAGGGCTATGGGGCTCAGCCCTTGAAATTGTTCTTAAAAGCTTTTAACATTTTTAAATGATTTTTTTGGTTAAAAATACCTGTTTTTCTTCAATAGCTTTTAGGGCATTTGACCCATTTACTCCAAAACACTTTTAAATAACAGTACTAAATGAGGGCTATGGGGCTCAGCCCTTGAAATTTTTCTTAAAAGCTTTTAAAATTATGTTTTGCCTAAAAATACCAGTTTTTCTTCAATAGCTTTTAGGGAATTTGACCCATTTACTCCAAACCACTTTTGAATAATAGTACTAAATGAGGGCTATGGGGCTCAGCCCTTGAAATTTTTCTTAAAAGCTTTTAAAATTATGTTTTGCCTAAAAATACCAGTTTTTCTTCAATAGCTTTTAGGGCATTTCACCCATTTACTCCAAACCACTTTTAAATAATAGTACTAAATGAGGGCTATTGGGCTCAGCCCTTGAAATTGTTCTTAAAGGCTTTTAAAAAATGTAAATGATTTTTTTGGTTAAAAATACCTGTTTTTCTTCAATAGCTTTTAGGGCATTTGACCCATTTACTCCAAACCACTTTTAAATAACAGTACTAAATGAGGGCTATGGGGCTCAGCCCTTGAAATTTTTCTTAAAAGCTTTTAAAATTATGTTTTTGCCTAAAAATACCAGTTTTTCTTCAATAGCTTTTAGGGCATTTGACCCATTTACTCCAAACCACTTTTAAATAATAGTACTACCTGAGGGCTATGGGGCTCAGCCCTTGAAATTGTTCTTAAAAGCTTTTAACATTTTTAAATGATTTTTTTGGTTAAAAATACCTGTTTTTCTTCAATAGCTTTTAGGGCATTTGACCCATTTACTCCAAACCACTTTTAAATAATAGTACTACCTGAGGGCTATGGGGCTCAGCCCTTGAAATTGTTCTTAAAAGCTTTTAACATTTTTAAATGATTTTTTTGGTTAAAAATACCTGTTTTTCTTCAATAGCTTTTAGGGCATGTGACCCATTTACTCCAAACCACTTTTAAATAATAGTACTAAATGAGGGCTATTGGGCTCAGCCCTTGAAATTGTTCTTAAAGGCTTTTAAAAAATGTAAATGATTTTTTTGGTTAAAAATACCTGTTTTTCTTCAATAGCTTTTAGGGCATTTGACCCATTTACTCCAAACAACTTTTAAATAATAGTACTAAATGAGGGCTATGGGGCTCAGCCCCTTGAAATCGTTCTTAAAAGCATTTAAAATGTTAAAATTATTTTGTTGGTTAAAAATACCTGTTTTTCTTCAATAGCTTTTAGGGCATTCAACCCACTCATCCCAAAACACTTTTAAATAATAGTAATACCTTAGGGCTATGGGGCTCAAGTTATGATTTATAATAAGCTTATATAATTTTTTTTTATTACTGGACTTTTGTCTGTTTTTGAGTGTTTCCCAGCATTCCATAATTTTAGGGCAGTTCCAAAAGATGTGTTTGTTATCACCTGTTTGACCTCTCCAGCCTGTGCTGGGCACATTGTTAGATTTGAAAACATGTAGTGGTACCAGGAAGAAGCCCGATTTTAATTTCCACTCAAACTCCCTCCAAGTAGCACTGACAAAGCTTGCATGTCCTTCTCCAAATGTCTCTGCCCACTTTTCATTTGGTATTATAATTTTTCTTAGATCTGAGTTGAGGAAGCTCAGATCCTTCCATGTGTGCAGCAAACTGTCCAGTACTGTATGTGGTCTCCAGTGCCCTTTTTTACACTGTGGTCTGCTGGGGGAGCAGTACCCCCAAAGGGACCGCTCTCGGATTGACAAGCTGATCTGTATAGCTGGACAGGTGATTGGCTGTCAGCTGGAGACATTTACAACAATGAGAGACAGAAGGTCACTGGAAATAATGCTCTCCGTCATGGACAACCCAACACATCCACTCCACCGGACTATAGAGGGGCAAAGGAGCTCCTTATAAAACAGACTCCGCTCCGCTGCAACAGTGAGCGGTACAAGAGCACGTTCATGCCACAATCCATCCAGCTATTCAACAAGTCACCGCTCTGTGACAGATAATACATCTGCTTTGTCCTTATTCTGTATATTAACAGATGTATAATAGTATACTATTTCATACTGTAAATGTGTCCATATTCACTGATATGTATATTCCTGAGTACTTCTGATTGTTCTATTCTCACAAATATCTTATTATTCTTAATTTATATTCTTATTTTTAGATTTCCCTTGTGGATCAATAAAGTATAAGTCTTTCACTCTCTCACCTCTCTTTGATATCTGTATTATTGTCATCTTCCATATGCAGAGCTTTATATAGCTTTAAGCGTTTTCTTGCTATCTTGGTCCTGGGTTCAAATCCTGGTCGGACCAGGGCCCTTTCTGAGTGGAATTTGTGTGTTCTCCCCGTGTCTGTGTGGTTTTCCTCCGGGTGCTCCGGTTTCCCCTACCACTAAAAACATGTACAATAGGTCTGGCATGCGCCTCCTGTACTGGTGATTCCGCTCCCATCTCTGTGTGGAGTGAGAGACAAATGCCCAAAAAATAACAATTGTAAACCGCTTTGTGGTCTGTGAAAAGCGGTATATAAATAAAGATTACTTACTTTCTGACTTCGCCATAAATACATATTGTTCAAATGTTCAAATGATTTCTAGTTCTCCCCTTTAAAAACCTGTCCGATATAAATTAGTCCTTCTTGTTCCCATTTATCATA